CTTATTAATTTTGTAAGTTGATCCGTACGTACTCAAGCCTTGGACACTCCATCGGGCAAGGGCAAATCAAAGACGAGGGGGATATTGACTGCCTGGTACCTCGAGTTGCAGACTGAGGCGTTCATGTAGACTGTGTGCGCGTCCTTCGAGACACCGTAGCCTGTAGGGGGGAGGGGGGGGAGTGTTTTAGTGAAGGAGGTCTTGCTCTTACAGTCCATCTGAGATAGGATTCTGCGTCTAATATTTCCTCTAATCTTCATATACTTATGAGAAAAAGTGTGCGTGTGTGTATGTGTGTTTGTTTTTTGTGTTTTTTTTTTTTTTTTGTATGTGTGTGTTTGCGTGTTTTTGTGTGTGCGTGCCTGTCTTTCTGTCACTTTATCTGCCGGTTCGGTAATCTTTGTCTCTCACTCTCTCTTCTCTCATCTCCTCTTTCCCCTCTCAATCTCCCTCTCCCCCCCTCTCCTCTCCTCTCTCTCATCCTCTCTCCTCTCCTTCTCTCTCTCTATCTCTCCCTCTCCTCTTCCTCTCTCTCCTTTCCTTCCTCTCCTCTCCCTCCTCTCCCTCTTCTTCCCTCCTCCTCCTCTCCTCTTCTCGTCCTTCTCGCTTTTCCTCTCTTCTCTTCCCTCTCCTCTCCTCTCTTTCTCATCTCTTCTCTCTTCTCTCCTCTCTTCTCTCTCTCCTCTCCTTCTCTCCCCTCTCTCTCTCCTCCTCATTCTTTCTGTCCTTTCCTCTTTCCTTCCTTTCACTCTTCCTCTCTCTTTCTCTTTCTCCTTTTTTCTCTCCTCTCTCTTCCTTCTGTCTCTCCTTCTCCTTCTCCTCTCTTTTCTCCTCTTCCCTTCTATCACTCCCTCTCCCCTCTCAGTCCCTCTTTTTTCTCTCTATCTCCCTCTCTCTTCCCTCTCGTCTTTTCTCATCTCTCGCTACCTTTTCTAACCCCTCTCTCTCTCTATCTCTCTCTTTCGTCCATCTACATATCTCGAATGCAATCACCAATGCCCGTCTATTTAACCCCCCCCCCTATCAACCAAAACCATTCTCCTTTATTGTCTTTTCTCCTCCTTTAGCTAAACACGAGACAGAAGCCAAAGTCACCTTCATGTATGTGGCCGAAGACGTGGTACTTGGGCTTCACTCGACGCTGCACGGCCTCCAGGAGGTCCTCACACCCGGCCCTTTTCTTTCGTGCGGTCAGGTCGCCTTGACCCAGGGGCGGCGTGTGGGTCAGCAGGATATCCGTGTCCTCGGGAATGGCTTGCCACTTCTGCCGGAGGGGTGCTCCTCGGGGTATTTCGAAGGCTCGCAGGTGTGGGTATTTCTCTTCTCTGGATATATTTGAAGAATTTAAAATGGAGTGATTTTGTCACTTAATTAATTCTATTGTTTCTAGCTGCTAAAGTATCATCACAAAGACCAGAAAGAGGTCAGCTTTTTATGCGGCGGTCAGACTTCATAATGCATGGCAATAAACTATAGAGAATAACGAAAACGGAGTGATGCCAAAAATAAATTCATTCACAACTAAAACTTTATTTTTATCTTTTGCATCTCTACTATTACGATGAGAATAAATTAACTTCTACATCGTCACTTATTCCGGAAACTAAGAAAAAAAAAAGGATTAGCTGCTTGTCTCTGACTGTAAAAGCAGCGTGTAGAATATATAAGCAGCTAATCGGAAATCGTCATTATGGCCATAGTAAGAACATTATGTTGTCTTTGTTTTATCCATATCCTTAACTTTATCGACCCATACTAAAAAATGCCCTTTCACTCTTGCAAAGACATAACTAAACTGCCATGAGAAAATACGGAATACCTTATAATTTTACAAAAAATACAAAAATGTTTAACCCCATGAAAGCTCAATACATCTCGCTACTTTTCTCGTTTTTGTTATTATGATCTATTTTCTATATTAATCTCTCTTTACTCCTTTTCTTTGTCATCCTCCCTATTCCCCTCCTCCTTCTTCACAACAACTGTACTTACTTCCACTTATCTGATGCCGTTTTCATGGGCGAATGGTATTCGGGTATCCTGGAAAGGAAAAGTAGAGCACAGTAGTAGTCGATCGTCGTCCAGAATTCTATATAAAATATTTTTTATTCCCCAAAACTATTATATATAAAAATATCAACAAAAGTATACAGAGAATGTCTTAATACGTGTCTATCTTGTTGTTTTATTCGCACTACTGACCATTCTTCATCTTTTAAATCTTCCTTCCATGTTTTTACATTCATCCGATTCGCGCAATTCTTGGTCATTAGCAACAAGACAGCGGAACTCTTTCTCACGCTTATTGCTATCGGCGTAAACTTGACTGAATACTTGGAAGTGATCTTTATAATTCGTATATCTTACTTAATATATCTCGCTGTTCGCAATTTCTAGTATGGATGCAAAATTGACGGTTAATTTTAATTCCCCTAAACATAAAGTGTTAACTAAAAATTCAACCCAAGAATAATTTCCATCACTATTTTGAGAATCAATATCGGGATCAATACGAAATAATTCTCATCAAACGAAAGAATGTCGCACACTGACCACGGAGTACCATATATTTTGATGCCGAAGAGAGTCACACTATCATCACACAAATAGATGGCGTTGGTGAGGAATCGAGTGGGATCAGCGGGAAGAGCTCGAGCTCGGCCGCACTCCTCAGCGTCTAGGAGGACGTCGTGGTTCCCTGCTATCACGACTTTGTGCTTGTGAGGAAGCGTCCCTGTGGAGGTGCGTGAAGGTGGGAAGAAATGGGCAGATTAACATTACGAGATGAGAAGTAAGGTTGGGAAGGCAAGAGGGAATGTGAATGTGTAAATGAATGTGGATAAAATTAGCTGACAACAAAACTTGACCAATTTATGGTCAATACCTACATGTTGAAACTTTAATCAAGACTCACTAATCATGTAGTCTATATATACAGTATACAATGTAATTAATTCAGCTGTTCACAACCTCCATCGATTGTTTGGGGGTTTGTGTGGCATAAAGGGAGGACTGGAATTCTACGGAAATTCGTCTGCTAAACGGGAAAAAGACAACCGACGAATGGTGACGGCACTACGGAAATTTGGTATTTTTTATGACAAGATTGTTTGATGAAAATGAAAGGTACTTAAAGCAATATTGAAATATTTTCCTATAGTATATATTCCCATGTTCTAATAAATCAAACTTCAAAATTTCAGAAACCATTACGGTATGAACTGATATAATGTGGCAGACCGAGCGTCATCACGGCGGAAATTTCATCCGATGTCACTTCAGCTAGCTCCTCTAGCTGGGCATCACCAAAGCTTAGCCAAAGTCCCATAAAGTGAGTTTAAATCTTCATGTCGCATTTTCTGAAGATATATATCCAATTCATTTTCTATGAAGATATGTGGGTGCATATTATTTTGTTGGATGCTGTTACATTATTGGCTTAATAATGTATATCCTTTTTCATACGCATAATTTTTGTATTATACTATTATTGTACAACTTATTGAACAATTAATAAACTGTCATCTAATTATCTTCCGTTTATGATAGTGTACGGTATAATTTTATTGTTTATATCCGTTTTCTTTGTCAACTAATGTTTACAAAACGGCAGAAATATTACAGCCACCCCTTCCTTGGGAGGGGTGACCGCTTAGCCTTCGCCAGCGTTCATATTATGTATATAAGAGGAAGACATGTCTTCAACAGTATTAAAATTAGGGAGACAGTATTAAAATTAGGAAAATGAGGATGGTTATATTCTTTTTTTTAGCGTTAAAACGTACAAAATTGCAAATGCAACGGCTGATGCCGGGTGGTCGCATATGTGTCAGTTGAGAAAGGGATTGCGAATGTACAAAGGTTATATCACATATTGACAAACACTAGAACATCAGCCTTCTTACATTAACGTGGAATTTTTGTTTCCCATTAACAAGGACTGCAATATTACCAAGCCACATATTGAACTGCATGGCCTCGCTGAGTGTGCCTCGCCCTGTGAAATCCCCTGCATGGAGGAGGACATCTCCATCTGGTACCTCCGCCTTCACTGCCCGGCTGTGCGTATCGCTTACGGCCACGAACCTTACCTGAGAGCGCGAGCTACATCAGTTCACTAGGAATAATCCCATGCATTTGCCTGTGTATTTTTAGCACATTAAAAAAACTAAATACTAGTCTATTCTGAAAAAGGGCCATAAAAATAGCAGCACAGTATCAAACACAAAATCATAAATTTCTAAAATAGCAAGTTAATCAAACTTGGATATATGACGTAACAAAAAAAATCATGACAGCTGATAGGAAGATGACTTAACACAATCATGACACTGATTTATGTATAAAATACTATACTGAAAGTCAGTGATACAGCAACACAGTTCGGGTGGCCGGCAATGGTTTATGGTGCTACTTTGATATTACTTATGATAATGTTTTTCGATAAAAACAGAGTAAACTAATCAGGTCAAAAACAAGTCAGACCAAATGTAATGAGGTACGAACAGAACGCAATCACTCACGGTTTCCCGGTTTTCTCAAATTAAATATGAACTGTTTGTGTGCAGTTTTATCACCTCTCTGCAACTAACAACTAATGTATTCACCATCTGGTCAGATCAGGAAGTTAAGCAAGGCAACAGCCTACTCACCTTTCCACCTACCTCACCAACCAAGACTTCATTTCAAAGAAATGTTCTCAACCAAAAAAGGGACAATGACAGGGTAAAACGAGAATTCCGGATTCCCCTGCTAACATAAGGCCAGGTCGGCAGACTAATGCTTGGTTTGTGGAACATTTTCTTGTAGGATTTGGCATTTCGCTTACATAACTTTGAAGATAGCTGAACAAAACAATGCATTATATTTTATTATTCTTGAACCGATCCTCGTATTTAACACAACTCCTACTCTTATTTTGACCCACCATGTTAGGGGACAGAGGGGGGAGGTCCTCTTGTGGCGTCTTTTTCGGCCTTGTGAAGTGGACACCGCCACGA